TTCTCAGAATTGCGAGTTTATATCTCACAATTATGATTTTATAACTCACAATTGCGTGTTATAGTCAGAATTGCGAGATATAAACTCGCAATTGTGAGTTAGTCCAATTTAAATTGTTTTTTTAATTAAGTCAGAATTGCGAGAAAAAAAGTCAGAATTGCGAGTTTTTATCTCGCAATTGTGACTTTATGTCTCGTAATTCTGACTTTATAACTCGCAATTGCGAGTTTATATCTCACAATTCTGAGAAAAAAGTCAGAATTGCGATAAAAAAAGTCAGAATTACGATATAAACTCACAATTGCGATAAAAAAAGTCAGAATTGCGAGATATAAACTCGCAATTGCGAGAAAAAAAGTCAGAATTGGGAGATATAAACTCGCAATTGCGATAAAAAAAGTCAGAATTGCAGAATTGTGAGATAAAAAGTCGCAATTACCTTTTTTATTTTTTATTCAGTGGCGGAAACGGGCTTCCATAAAAAACCTATCACATGCATTATCTTATCTTCAAACAGATATTATGCATGGAGAAATGTATTTTAATTTGTAAAAGATAAAAAAAATAAAAGAAGTACATAAAAGAATAAATAAAAGAGTCAAAGGCCACCGTTTAGAGAACTATACATCCTGAGCTTATCGTCAGTTCATTTCACCCGGAGCAGCACTATATGTACCCGCGGTGTCCTCAGAGAGGAGAGACACCATCCTCAGCACGTATACACGACACGCGAGAGGATGAGAACACAGCTCGCGTGATTCATCACACACCTTATGCGCCGTGACGCAACGCGATGCGAGCGCGCATTCTAGTTGCGTCGCTAGCGGTGTGGGTGGGATGTTAAAGCGTCCGAGGGCGACATTTCGGGTGAAGGACATCTTTGACTAAACCTAAATTTGATGTACATTATTTAAATATCTCTTTCGAGAGTGTGTGATGTTGTAAGGATGTGTTTAAAATCTCTACTTCATCACGTTAGCTCATCTCTGCTAGGCTAAGCTACAGTGATGTAGGACATGCCTACGTGCAGATCGGCCACACTCCCTTCTTCCGCAGACAGCAGCAGCATCCATGATGCTGTATAGACCTACACGTGCATATGATGCTTTAATTAGCATGTTCTGTGAAATAAACGCTGTTAAAATAGATTCGGTTTGTCGGGTTTCTGTTAGCTCTACTCTACATATACGGAAGAGAGATGGTGATAATGATGTGTTCACCCATGCTCAGGGTGACATTGAATGTCATGAATGTCGACCCCTTACGATCATTGCAGACCCCTTTTAACATTGCACATACAAAGCTGAACAGATTTGGTGCTTTACATCTAATTACAAAAGAAAAATGATTCTGTTTATCTCTTTATATAGTTGATTTTTGAGTGTTTGAACCCTTAAAAACGAACATTTCACACCGACGGCTTTTATATGTTTGACGTATTTGCTATAAACACTGCTAAAACGTATTTATCATTGTCCCATGATGGAGAAGTCCTTCGATAAGTAAATGAGACAACCACCTGTCGGATCATACATATTTACTTCTGACACTCAATGCAAAGCAAACAACTGACGTTGCACTATTAATATAGCAAATATTTTAAATAAAATTACAATAGAAATTAACAAAACTACATTTAACGACAAAAATGGTCTGTTTACAAAACGAGTAAATGACATGTCATTTAAGAAAGCGGCAGTGTCCCTATAATTAAAAAATATATATATATTTTAAATAAACAATTCAATCACTTACCTGTTTAGAAGAGTGATGCAACAGATGCCCTAACTGTCGACAGCCTCCTGTTTCAATGCCGCAACGCAACGTGACCACTTAGAAAAACCAACCCGCCTAGGGGCGTGGCTTTGGTCACGACCTTATTGTAATAACAATGAATATTCATGAGTCTTTAAAGTGACCTCGCGCGTCACCGCCAGCACTTTTGTGAAATCAAATTAAAATGTGATAGAAATAATGATACTTTTTATATATTCAATATAAAAACATAAAAGAATAGAAAGAAAGAAAGAAAGTGAATATTTGCCTACAACAATTTTTTTTCTTACAAAACATGTCTATTAATTAAATATGCAATGCTTACTACATATACAAACCAATAAATGATTGGTTCTATTTAAACACAAAACACTCTATTTACTTAGTATGGAAAAGTGTTTAAAAATATCTCTTCTTATATTAGAGAGATTTAGAGAGAGATCAACAGCTCAATAATAGCAGAAGCTGACACTACAATACTGTGACGCTGGTGGGTGGGGCTTCAGAAATAACCACATACAGCATTGATTACAATATTGCATAAATATATATTTTTTAACTACATTATTTTCTTTATTCTTTGCTTAGTATTTAATAAAGGATCACTGGTGTCAGGCATTCTGGGCATAAAACAAATACTGTCATCTCAGGCTGAAAAGGTTATTCATGCGTACATGGGCATCCAACCAGGCCCTCAGCAGTTGTTAAAACAACAGTATGAACAATAAAGCCAATAGGAAAATTAGTATAACACATAACCACAGTCCCTTTCCCACAGTATCAGTCCACAGTACATTATGGAAAAAAATGCACAGTGCTGAGCATATAATGTTATATAAAAGTAAAAATATCCACTTGACAATCTGATCCTTTTAGCATTAAAGTGTATTCCTGAGGGTTTGTGAAGCTTTCAAAACATTATAAACTAGGAAGAACTGAATTTATGGTATGTTTGTTTAATGAAAATGCAGTGATGGCATATTAATGAGGACAAAATAGTCAAATAACGTCAAAGGATATGAGGAACTATGAACCACATTTCACTAAATGTCTCAACAAAAGGTAAGGAATTCAACGCAAGGATTAGAGTGTCTCAATAAGAAATACACTTAACAACCAAATTCCTTCACAGAAGAATAACCTGCTATAAAAAGGTCCACCTAAAAAAATGAAAATTCTGTCCTCGTTTACTCACCCTCATGTCATTCCAAGCCTGTATTTGAGTTTTTTTCTACTGCAGAACACTAGAGAAGTTATTTTGAAGAACGCTGGCAACCAAACAGTTTCCGTTTTTACTGACTTCAATTGTATTTTTTGTACATTCAATGGAAGTCAGCTGTGCAGTAACCAACATTCTTGAAAATATCTTGTTTTGTGTTCCACAGAAGTTAATCATACAGGTTTGGAATGATGACAAAATTGTCATTTTTGGGTGGACCATCCCTTGAAGTATTCCTTCTTGCCCCACGTGCTTCTGAGGTGTCTGATTTTAAAACTCCCGACAAAATTGTCTTAAAAAGTTAAACAAACACTTCTCTTTGGGAAGCATCGTCCTGAGGTACATGGCTTTGCATGAGTGCTTCTACCCGCTCCATGTTGGCCAGAGTCGGGGAAAGGTCTGGAGCGGTGGGTGTGCACGGTGAGGTTAAGAGAAAGTCACAGTCAAAGTTTGGGAAGGGCTCCAGGGTCAGGCCTCGACGGGCTTTGGCAGGGCGGTCAGGCCGGTTCTTCAGCTCCAGGATCAGCTCCATGGGGGTCTTTTGGAGCAGGTGGGAATCAAACGGTGTGCCGCGGAAAAAGGTTTGCCGCTTGAAGCGTTCCAGTGTCCGAAGGCGACGTGCTGGAGTCTTACAAAGAAGCTGAGGAGAGGAAAGATTGGTTCAAATGATTAAATAAATGGATCTCAATGTCTCAAACTGTGCTCAGAATCGCCAAGATCCCAGCAATCAAAAATCACAGCTTTTAGTATGAACTCTCATCAGAAGTTCTACATTTTGAAGGGACAATTCATCCGAAATTGTTACGTGACGAAAAGTCTAGCATCATTTACTCACTCTCATGTTGTTCCAAAACTGTATGATCTTCTGTGGAACATAAATGAAGATATTTTCAGACATGTCTCAGAGTTTGTTGTCCATAGAATTGAAGTCAATGGGGTTTAGTGTTGTTTGGTTCCCTTCAAACTAGTGTTTCACAGAAGAAAGGTTTGGAGGAACACAAGGGTGAATAAATGACGACAGATTTTTTGGGTGAACTATCCCTGAAAATCTTAAAATAATCTGACTCCTTTTTATTCAGAGAATTTGATGAGACTTAAAACTGAAAGCTGGTTTGTAACTGATGACTTTGGGATCTTAGCAATTCTGAACACAGTTTGAATAAATGATGACAGAATAATGTACTATCCCTTTAATTTTTTTGAACTCTATACTCTTACTAAATGTAAACAATGATCTCATTTAAGTCTTTAATTTTTAGGGTTTGCAGAGAAACAACTGAGACACTTTTGACTGACACAATTTGAACATTTTGGCAAGTAAACCAAGTCCAGGTCTCACCTCTGTAAGCAGGAGAGCAAAAGGAGGAGAAAAGTTTTTTGGCATCTCATATAGGAAGCTGCGTACTCTCCTCAGCATGCTACAGTGATCTGTCTCTGGAGACACAGGAAACTGAGACAAACATGGAGGGGGAGGGGAGTTCAGAATGACTTGGCAGAAAAAACACATCTATTCACACAGAAACACACAAACGGTTATTTTTTCCCACAATAGGCCGAAAACACAACATGTTGGTGCAAATATGCATGTATGTGCATTTGTCCTTACCTTTCCAGTGGCCAATGCAAAAAGAAGGATGCCGAGAGACCACCAATCAGCTGCGTGGTTGTAGGGACCACCGCTAAGGACTTCAGGAGCTGAAGAGACAGATTTCTTAAGAATCCTGTTTACATTCCAACATATAGCTAGCATATAAACTTCCTTTCATTAGCTCAGCCATAAATATCATTAATGGCTCATTTTGCGTTTCAAGAGACTATTTATGTATATTATTCCACATAAGTCAAAGTTATCATTTGTTTTAATTTCTTCTTTTATTACAGATTTACCCATGTATTGGATTGTCCCACAAATAGTGAACGCCCTTCCTCCACGCTCCAGACGCCGGGACAAACCGAAGTCAGCCAGTCGTAGATGGCCTTTAATAAAATATCAAAAACCCACACATTCACATAGTAACACTAGAAGATTTACATAATAATAATTCATATTTTTATATTATGAACATATACAATTTATGATTAGATGGTTGTTTGATGTCATTTGAGTTTTATAAGCCATATTTCACTTTGATGTCATATTTTCATTTTCACATTTTAACAAACAAATATTGAATTATTATGAATTTTGAAATCAGTGGATTGGATTATTTGTTTAATTGCTATTATGATATCCTGTTTGTGTAAATACTCTAGCTGTATTCTTTGGCCTGGAAGCCTGAAGCTTGGATGTTCTGGAACATTCCATGTTTACAAAAACCAAGCAGACACCTACTGCCCTCCACTGGCGGGACTACAGAACACAGACTGCCTTACCCTGATCTGTTAGAAGGACATTCTCCATCTGTTCAAAATACAACACAGAATGTTTTTAAGGCATTTAAGAGTTCATATTCATTACCTAAGGTCATTAAATTAAAACATCATTACATTCAAAACACAGAATACCTTCACATCACGATGGATGATTGCACAATCATGAAGGAACCCTATAAAACATGATATTTAAAGTATTATTTTGATAAGCATTTATAGCTATTGTACTTGAGCAAAAATTGCTTGGCATAAAATGTCCATGGAGGTTTTTTGTTTGTGTGTGTGTGTGTGTGTGTGATTTTAGGTTGAAATAATTCTATTATATTATATTAAAATTATACAGTATACACCGCTGTTCAAATGTTTGGGGTCAGTAAGATTTTTGGAAAAGACATTAATACTTTAATTCAGCAAGGACGCATTAAATTAATCAAAAGAGTGACAGTAAACACATTTGGAATATTACAAAAGATTTATTTTGCAAATAATTGCAGTTTAAAAGGATCCAGCGGTTATCGTGGTTTCAACAAAAATATTAAGCAACTGTGATAATAATAATTGTTTCTTGATCACCAAATCAACAAAATAAAACATATTAAGACTGGCTGCTGAAAATTCAGCTTGGCATCACAGGAATAAATTACATTTTAAAACATTCAAACAGAAAACAATGATTTTAAATTGTAACAATATTTCACAGCATTACAGTTTTCATTGCATTTTTGACCAAATAAGTGAAACCTAGGTGAACATAAAAGACTTGTTTCAAAAGTTTTTTCTTGTCATATAGATTTGCTTACCTAGAGCAGAACCTAATTCAGCAGCAAACACTTTTACCACATCCTCTCCAAACTGACCAATCATCACCCAGTATGTGTACAAGTCCCCTGTGCTGCAGTAATCACACACTAGAGAGGGAATATTCAGAAACGAACCATATAAACAGCGCCTGAATGTGCAAATCCCAAATATAGACAAACACAAAAATCCAACTCAAACAGGCTAAGACCAGAGAAAACATCTGTCACTTGACCAGATTCATAATTCATCAGTCAAGACCATCTGTTTCTAACAGTTATGCCCTCATCCAGACCACTGACTGGTAAAACATCATGGTCAGATTAAGTACAGAACACTCTGTGTTATAACATAGGAACTTAAGCTTGATATAAAGAAATCCCAATAGTGGTCTAGACTGAATTAAGCGTAAAAATAGGAGTAAAACAGTGCAGGCTGTAAATGAAGGAATCAGGTGGTAATCAAAGGAAGTGACACAATCATCATAACTTTAGTTAGGAGAAAGCATTCAAGGGGTGAACATCATAGTGGAAGAAGTAAACTGACTTTCACAAATGCAGTCAGGATCACTGGGAAACCAAACACTGGGGGGAAAAAGGACTTGAGGTTTAGAGTGTGGAGTCCTAATAAGTGGGCCCAGATTGAATCTGTGGATTTTTTGGCATTGTCTACACTGATTTTCATCTATCTATCTATCTATCTATCTATAGACTTTAAACATTCAAGCTTCAAGTATTCAAGATTTCTGGTCAGGCTTTCTCAAGCCAAAATTATTTAAGTTATTTTTGAACTACACAAGTTTGTCTAGATGAACCTATCTAGTTCAAAAGACTTTGGGCCACTTTACATGCTAATGATATATAACAACTTAGTAGGACTAATTTGATTTTCAACTGTAGATGGTTGTTTAGCAAAAAAAAAAAGTAGGCCGTCATGAAATCAGCACCATGGATAGCACCCATATTCTATACAACTGTGGTTCACAACTGGTCCTGCAGGGACATTTTGTACGTTTCTCTCATCTGACACACTCAGTTCAGTTCATAAAGTTCTCTGCTAACAATCTGATGATCTCAATGTGCTGAGCAGTGGGTTTCCTGCACTGGAGTTGAGAACCACTGCTATAAAACATGATTTGCTTTCATTCTTTGGAATTTGGGAACTCTCTCTCTCTCTGATACTCTGTACACAGTGTGCCACACAGAATAAAACATAAATAAAAATCAATTAAAAGTGGAGTGTTTTACACTTTCTCTTTTCCCAGCATTTGTTGAGCGTTATGACACAGCAGCATTAGCTTGACCAATGGCTATGAATATGAAGTGGGATTATCTGTTTGGCCAAACGATGGCAGGTGAGAGGAGTGTTTGGTAAAATTGTTAGAAGAACAAACATTTTTACACTCTTCACCTTTAATGTCATATATTTAATAATTATTAGGCACAACAACTCTGAAATATAAACCTGTAAACTTTTCAACATAGATCATTCACTAACGTTCAAAAGTTTGGGGCACTTTTTTAAAAGAAATGAATGCTTTAATTCAGCAAAGACACATTAAATTGATCAAAAGTAATATTAAAGACTTACAAAAGATTTCTATTTCAAATAAATGCGGCTCTTTAGAACTTTTTATTCATCAAAGAATCCTGAAAAAAATGTGTCATGGTTTTCTCAAAAATATTCAGCAGCGCAACTGTTTTCAACACCGATAATAAGAAAAAAAAAAGTTTCTTGAGCACCAAATCAGCATATTCAAATGATTTATGAAAGATCGCGTGACACCGAAGACTGGAATAATGGCTGCTGAAAATTCAGGAAAATACTTTGAAAACAGTTATTTTAAATTGCAATAATATGTCGTCGCCGATAGCCTCGTGCTTAGTGCGCCAACATATACAGCGCAACTGTGCTCACGGCGACCCGAGTTCGATTCCCACCCCCCTCTCTCTACCCAATACTTTCCTGTCATCTCTCCACTGTCCTGTGACTGTCTGAATAATAAAGGAATAAAAAGCCCAAATATCTATATATATATAAAAATTGCAATAATATTTCACAACATTGCTGTTTTTACTGTATTTTTGATCAGATAAACACAGCCTTGGTGAGCAAAAGAGACTTTAATAAACTTCAATGTATCATTTCGGATTATATGTCCTCCTCACAGCTTCTCACAGAATAAAAAAAGAGTTCAGGTGGAATAATAGTTTGTAGGAGCTCCAGGGAGGTTTTGTGTCAGGGCCACATGGCACTTGGTGTGAGGGAAGACTGATTTAGTGGTGGGAAAGGCAGGAGGAGAATTGGGGCAGGGGTGCATTCTGAATCACTCACTAATGTAGATGTGCCGCTGGGTCTGCCAGCAGTCCTGCAGGTCGTGGACAAAAGGGTGGTGGACCTGACGCTGCAAAGCAACAGTACGACAACAAGAGCACAGGTACAGTGAGTCATAAACCTCTGAGGTTTTGAACTCGACCTCTTCATGTACCAGGGTGATAAAGACACCTGCTTATATTCATCCTAGCTCTCTTCCAGTGAATTTGCATCTACTAAAACACAAACCATCTCAATTTCCATTTACGACATAAGCTAGGAGTCAGTGGCTGTAAAAGATGACACTGACCATTAGACCTGATAAAAATGATGACATCGTAGAACATTGAGGCTCACCTGGACTATTACTTCCTCCTTAGACTGCTCCAAAACTCCCAAGCGCAAAATCTCAGATTTCGGAATAACCTACATTAGACAAAAAAACACAAATGGTGAATAAGCATTACTGTGTCACAATGACAGGCCGTTTATTCTTCCTCACGAAGAGGACCAGTTCAAAGTTTAGGGTCAGCAAGATATTGTTTTTTTGTAAGAAATAGCCTATATTTTTTTCAGCAAGGATGCATAAATGTGTTCAAAAGTGACAATAAGGACATTTATAATACAAAAGATTTCTTTTCATGCTTTCCACAAAAACATTAGGCAGCACAACATGTTTCTTGAGCATCAAATCAGATCATTTGACACTGAAGACTGAAGTAATGATGCTGCAAATTCAGCTTTGCATCACAAGTTTAAATTACATTTTAAAATAATATAAAAATAGAAAACAGTTATTTTCAAATGTAATATTATTACACATTATTACTGCTTTACTGTATTTTTGATCAAATAAATGCAGCCTTGGAGAGCATAAGAGACTTCAAAAACAAAAATTTTACAGAACCCAAACCTTTGAACGATAGTATACAATAAGTGCTCAGGAATGGATGGCTCCTTGTCACAAATCATTCTATGTGATCCGATTCGTAATGGGTTGATTCGGCAGAGACCAGCTGGGAGAGAAATCCCCACAGCAGAGAGAAATCCCCGCCATCTGGATATTTGTGACTGCTCCTCCGACCCTGTACACTGCTGTGAACGAATGTCATTAAATAATAATTACATGGTTACTCATATTCCAGCGATGACCTATTTTTGTTAACATGCTCTTGGATGTCTCTCTAACTGTGGATACTATTCTTTTATTTAAAATAAGAATAAGAAACTGAATAAATATACAAGAGGAAAATAATGGGTTATAAACAACATAGTTTAAGGAGAAATTTTTAAAATAAATTTGGTAATTTAAAATTAACTGTTCTTCTGTTGTGTCCCTACACCAGAGAGAATTATGGAAGAATAAATATGGACACATACTACATTTTGTGTAGTATGTGTGTGAGTGTGTGTGTATGAGAGAGAATGAGTGAATAAAATATCCTTCTGTAAAATATCACAGCAAACTGATTTCAAACTCATGCTCATGGAATTTTGGGAGCAAAAATGTAAAAAGACGTTATAATGCAGTCCATGGCAAATGGAAGTATTTTTGTTCCCTGAACAGAGTTCAACAGTGTCATTACCGCAACATAATTGGCAGTGGTGAAATTAACAGTGTGCAGTGGTGAAGTGATGAATTTATGAAAAACAGATGCGTACAGTCAGTTTGAAATACACTGAATATCCCATAAAATCCAATGTACATTTAAAAAGTTTTTAAATAAGAAATATCAAGTCAAAACTGCCCATAGTCAAGGAATCACCATAATATTCATATTAATTAAAGTAGATGACACGCTTTTCCCTTGGCTTTTGCTTTCAGTCAAATCCACACAAATGTAAAATGGCTATGCATTTATTAACTATAAATATGTATTTAAACTAAATGTAACGACCTACTTATAAAAACACTGTTTTATAGTTTCCCTCTAGTTGAACAGAAAATAAATATAATACATAACACAATTTTATATAACAAACTTATGTTTTTTTTCAATAAATATGACTTAAATGCCCTAATTAGATTTAGCTTCTACAAATAAACATGCATTGCTTAACTCTTAACAAGTACAGATCAAACATCCAGAGCACAGGCTGTACACACAATGTTTCCAACTTTTCTCACCACTCTTACCAAGAAAATAATTTAAAGAACTAACCTTGCTGTTTTTGCTAGCATCGGTACCCATCACATTTGTCGTTTGCGTGAAATATTAGTTGAATCTTAAATACTGTTCATCCATGTTGTCGCTTGTAGTTTCAGTGTCAATGAGTGACAGAGCACTACCACCAACGTGCATTACTGTTATAATCGCTCGAATATGGACAGGACAAGAGCTTTTACATTATGTCTCACATTGAACTATACAGGTGAACTCATCTTCTACCGAATCGTTTTCAGTCTGACAGACATGGCGACAAAAACAAGATAATCTCCGACAGCATCGACGAATACTGCGCAGCCTCCCACGTTACTGTCACCCAATCGGATTTCTTGGCGAGTTGTTAGACCACGCCCACTCCAGCGCCCACTCGAAACAGTATCAGGAGCTGAAACACGACGTTATTAAACATTAAGTACCACAGAGTCATGCTTTCTGTTAATTCATAGTTATATCTAAGCATTGTTATTATATTCACTCTTAAAAATAGGTTCTTTATTGATGGTTCCATGAAGAACCCTAACCATCCGGATCCATTGCACAAAAGGTTCTTTAAAATATTGTTCAAAGGAAGGTTCTTTGGGGAACCTAAAATAGTTCCTTCCTTTATTTTTTAGATTTTACATACAGTTTTGGGGACTCACAGCACTGCAATTCCTCTACAAAGGGGAACCATATGTGGCTCCTTAGGTGAGGCTTTTCAAAAACAAAAATAAATGCTAAAAATAATTATATAGCTACTTTTTTCTCTTTTTTTTTCTCTCTTCAAATAATTTGTAGCCTATGTAGGCTAATGTATAATGTAATAAGTATCTAATCAAGGCCTACAGTATGCTAATTTTTATTTACTCTTGATATTTAATTTCAATATTTAAATTATACATTAAAAGTCATGTATATAAATATCTATATTTAAATATAATCATAAACAAATGTTTTATTAGTATACATATTGTGATAGAAGGCATTTTAACAATCTGCAATTATGACATTAATTTCAATATTTCGTAATGAAACTTTGCAATTTTTCATCCCATAGGATATATATTAAAGGGGTCATGACAGGAGAAACCAAATTCCCATGGATCTTTTGACACAGAAGAGGTCTTTGTATGCTTAATACATCCTGCAAGTTTCATAACTTAAAATGTCCTCATCGTCAATAAAAAAAAAGAGCATTTATGTAATAACCCTCAGAGAGCAGCTAATTTTGGATCCGAGGTGCAAGGAGTCATCATCCAGGCAGGTTTTTGCATAAAAACTGCCTCCAGAGCAACACATTGATGAACAGTCTTCTTCTCACCATAGGCCCCACCCACTGGCGTTCAGCCACTTAAAGGGTTAGTTCACCCAAAAATGAAAATTAGCGCATGAAAGCATCCTAGGTGTATATGACTTTCTTCTTTCAGACGAATCCAATCGGAGTTATATTAAAATTGTCCTTGCTCTTCCAAGCGTTAGAACGGGAGTAGGTGGGTGTTTTTGTTCAACAGTCCAAAAGTAGTTAAATAAAGCATGCGCATCCATAATAAAATGGGCCTCACACGGCTCCGGGGGGTGAATATCACACATGCAATAGCGAGGGGGCATTGATACTGTTTCCTATGCAATGACATTAGCCAATCATAACAGCGCTGATTACTGATAATAAGCCTTAGGACCCGCCCCTTAAAACCACAGGTTGTTGTAGAGAAAGGGTCAGAATGAGGTTGAAAATAATATTTTTTCCATATATTTATTAATTTATTGTGCAAAAAAACTTGATTAACATAATAAGTAAACCTCAAGGAACATATTAAAATAAAAATAAAAAATCCATATTGACCCCTTTAAGGCTACTCCACTAAAGTTGTATATTTAAACCACTTATAGATCACTGAGAAAAACAATTAGGCTAATGAAAATCAAACTGAATCAGTGGACGTTTTATATATATTTCATGTAGTGATCAATGCATTTCTATAAGAAGTTATTTTATAATATTTTACTATGAATAAATGTAAGTTAAATATTAATAATAATAAGATATTACATATAATTTTTTTTGTTATTTATTTTATTATTAATAATATGATTATTGCCTTTTTTTTCTCCTTGAATTATGTCAATCCCATAAGCACGTATTCTATTCCACACTCCAGTCCAGTCGGTGGCGGTAATGCACCTACAAGTTGGTTTGCCAATAAACACCAAAGAAGAAGAAGAAGAAAATTCACTTGTCAAGATGGCGACGCGCATTGTAAGCATGCGATTTTTGGCCACAATATTTCAACCAGTATTGACATTGCGATGTCATTGCGTAAATATCAAAAGATATGTGCGTAAACGCATTGGTGTGTCTGGCTCAATTTCAGTGAAAGGATCTATAGAAAATTCGAAACAAGTCGTCAGTCAAAACGAACATTTATTACAAGACAACATTTTCAGAAACCCTAAAAAAGACAGCGTTCAACGACCCGACAACATCTCGGATTCAGTACAGTTCTCACAATTACCTCGGGAGAAGGTGATAAACGCAGACCTCCGCGACAATCATCAGCCCACCACATTGTCCCGTTTTGGAGAAGTTGATGGTTTGTTGTATGAGAAAGCACAACCTGGGGACAAGAGTTTGACGTGAGTAAAATATTGACATTTGTTGCTACATGATTCGTGCCCGAGAATACAAAGAACTACAAATGTTTTTGTTTTGTTTCGTTTTTTGCAAAAACTAATTTAAAGATAAAATTGAATATGCAAGAAATGAGTATGAAGACAAAAGTGTTGACAATTTTGTCAACTTTAAATAATTCTGAATGGCAAGCTATTTATTAATAAATTCTGGGGGGGAAAAAATTCAAAAACTCCGTTGTAAAAGGCTTTCTGTAGCAAACTTAATGTAGTCACTTAAGGTTGTGAAAAATTAATAGTGTATCTTGCATCTTGTGGATGTTGTTTTCACTGTTAAATGTCATTTGACATTTAATCTCCATTGTATATGCAGGAGGTTGGTCAGCATAGCTCGATCTAAGAAGCTTCGGGAGCAGCAAGGTAAAGTTGTTCTGGAGGGAAAGCGTCTTATACGCAGCGCTCTGGATGCAGGGGCCGTAGCGCAAACTGTTTATTTCAGTTCAGTGGATGCACTGCGGGAGCTTCCCCTGGATAAACTCGGCCATACCAGCATTGTGAAAGTCAGAAAGGAAGATCCTAAAATCTGGTCTGATCTTGACACCTCAAAAAACATAATAGGTAAGAGACCTGCATTAGCAAAACAAAACA